CAGGGACTGCCACAGTCGTGCTGGGCCCTCTCGGGGGGTGAGGACATAAACCAAAGCGGTGGCTGGAAGGAGTTTGCCTGTGAGGACACCAGGACCCTTCAAACCAGCCCCCTGCCTGGCCCATAGCATTTGGAATCTGGTGACTTTCTGGGCACACTGCCAAAGAACATCTGTTTGGAAAGGGTTTTGGAGGGGGTGGATTCCCCACATGGGCAAAGGGGCTCTGTGGGTGACTGGCTGAGTTCCTGTTAGCTGCATAGTTTAATGCTGCTGGGATTTCGTGGTGTTGTTGTAGCAAGGATGTCAGACTGCCTAGTGCCTTGGATGATGTCAAATCTATATAAATAATGACACGCCCACAAGGCCCTGCAGCTCAACACTATTCTGGTCTTCTCTCCAACAGGAATAAAACAAGGAATTGTGAATTACCCATCACGACACCCAGTAGATGTGAACTAGCCTTCAATGAAAACATTGATGTAGGTAACCAACTGCAATGTAGTGGCTAATAAAAGGCGCTGGGGTGATTTGCTTATTAGTCATTACCAATGTTCCCTCTAATTTTTTCCATCCATGTGCAAAATAATTTTATGTGCACTGAGGCATGTGTGAAATGTGCCCACCAGTAGAAACACAAAACCTAGCTGTGTGCACTCTGCTAGTCAGTTTGGTGGCATTTGAATTTCTCCGGAGTGGCTACAAAAGCACACAGCTTACAGGGAGCACTGGTTGTCATTGTCATAACAGTGTGATACACAGAACTTTTATTTCCTGCTTCTAGATCCCTGTCTTGGGGTAGGGTTCCAAAATATTTATGCCCTGGCCCATGACAGGAGTCAGTATCCAGTCTCTGTCTCGGCCAATCTGTTACAATCCTCAGGAGGTGTCATGCTGTTTTACAGTGAGTTTATCTCCCTTAATTGGCTCATCGGTCTGTCCAGAACCCTGCAGCCTGAGGTCACAAGACCAGCGCCGGATTAAGGGGGAGGCTAACCGGGCAGCTGCCTGGGGTGCCAACCTAAGGGGGGCACCTGATGGTAGCTGTAAGGAGCGCCATGCGCCCGGCCACGCAGCACACCTTAGAGCTGCAATCAGGCACCGGGGGCCTGATTGCAGCTGTAAGGTGTGCAGTGCGCCGGGGGAGAGGGCCACGCATGCGTCATGTGCCCGCTGCCCGGGTCACAGGAATGGCTCGAGCCGGCCCTGCACAGGACACTTACCAGAGACTCATGCCAGGCATGCCTCTCCAGATGCAGCACTGTGCACCCCACGTGTGGTGCACTCTGAAACTGCATTGTTGTGACGTAAAGGCAGAAAAGCAATGACGCAACAGCAGAGCCAACCTCATCATTGGATCCTGCAGCACAGATGGTACTTAAGGAGCAGCACCTGTCACCTCTGCCCAGCTTCAATCTGCTTTGCAGCCTACCCATTGCAGTAGAAGGGATAAGACTTGGATATTTAAGTTAGCTAGGTTCTGTGCCTCAGTTTCCCCAATGGGGCTAATCTAATGATTGCCCTGTTTATTAAGATGTGCAAAACACATTAAAACCATTAGGACGGGAGGTGCGATGGTCATGCACTAACAGAGCCGGCAGTGTTGGAGACTCAGGAATGTGAAGATTAGCTTGTGCAGGAACTGGTAATGCTAATAACAAATTTCCCTGCAGGTTCAGGTCTTCACCATATCCGACTCAGTTTACCTGACTGTGTTCTGTCAAACTGGGGAAAACTGGACAACTGTGGTGCAAGAGCAGAAATTCAAACTATTCCACAACAGTGAGTGGTCTACAGGGTTTGGTCCCCCAAAGGTGCAATGTGTGGTTAGATCTGTCCCCTGGGCCAGCTTGTACTCACTTCTGTTTAGCCCATATGCCAATCTCAGGCTGGCTTCCTCTCAGTGCCCCATTGCCCTGTATGCTCACCTGAGTCACACAATGCCACGTATTCACCATGCTGCAGCCCGTAGCTTCCAGCTTTGTATTGCTGCTTCCCTGAGCATTACCTCTGACATGCAGCTTCGTATCAACCACCCCCAGTGCCCAGCCGAGGTGCTTGGATCTCGGGATCAAAGCACTGTGTGTTAAAGCTGTGTCCTTCGGTGGCCAAAGCTGAACTAGATCCTTTGATGGTGTAAATCTATGTAGGGCTACTGAGTGCAACGGGGTAGTGCCCATTTAGCCCCATAAATAGCTGGCCCCTCTACTTAATGGAAACAAATGACTCGCTAGACCACAGAATCTGATCCTGTCCCATTAAAGTCTTAGGGAATTTTGCCATTGATTTCAGTGCGGGCAAATCCTGGGGAACCAGAGAAGAGGCGATAGCCACAAAATGAATGGTTCAGTACAAACGGTAGGGATGAGTTCAGAGATGGGCATACTCTGTGGCGCTGCCTGGAGCCCATATTCCAGAGAGCAGAGTCTGCTAATGGAGCCACTTAACAGAGAATGAGAGAGCAACCCGCTATCGTTTTCGATGGGTGTGTCCCAGAGCCTCCCTCCCTCTTCTCTCCCCAGTCCAGCTGAGACCTCCTGACAGCCTGCAAGTGGTATACACCAGCGACTCCAGCTGCAACATAACCTGGAGGGTTCCTAGTTCCTCTCACTACTTACGTAATCAACGGGAATTTGAAGTGCGGTACAGACATCCCAGAGAGCCCTGGGAGGTAAGTGCAGGACCCCAGACTAGCTTCTGATGCTGATGGGCCTCAGGCCCGGACCTAGTGGAGGAGGACAGAGCCACTTTGGTGCAAGGAACCTGCCACGCTTGCTTGTGCTCTAGACCCTTCCACACATGGCTGCAATGCCATCTCCTCACAGGTGAGGCCAAAAGTGGCAGTGGCTCCTGCTTCCGCTTTATCTGCAGCATCTGCTGGCAACATATGATGACAGAAGGGAAATATTTCTAGTCTGCCCAGTGCTGTGATGAGAAGCATCAGAGTGGTGTCCCTGTCCTCCCAATATAGAACAGAGAAGTCTCTGGAAATGACAAAGATAGACTGGGCCTGCTCCTACTGTGGAGAAGGGGGTCTTTGACCTCCTGCTACAGCATTAGACATAAGATATGGTGGCTGAGAGCAGTCCAGAGCCTACTCTGCTCTGATTGCACAGCGGACAGGGGTGAGGGTGTTGACCCTGGGTTGGGCTGGGAGAGGAGAAAACATGGCAATCACTCTGTAACTTTTGTTCCATCCCAGACTGCCAAACTCCTCCAGATCAAGCAGGACCAGTCATGGGTGATGATTGAAAACCTGTCGCCTGACTCAAAGTATGAGGCCACCATTTGCGTGAAACCAAAGACATGTGGTGTGTGGAGCAATTGGAGCAAGACGCTGGCGTGGGAGACAAATTGTAGCGATGTGGCACATGGGCCCACGCCTGCATATACAGGTAATCAGACTCAGAGGAGAGCAGAGGCCAGGGTTTGGAGATAGGTTAGGAGAGAGCAGGCAATGCCCTAGTCCAGATGGTTCCCCAGGTGAGGGCACCACCTCTTTTGCTCCTTCCTCCATTTGTTAAACTTTTGAGTATCTTATTTTTTTATTGCATTTGTAGGCCATATGATAGCATTGATCCATTACTTGTATGCATGAATTCTCCTTGTCACATAAAAGTTTAAATCTGCACACTGGAATTTTTAAATGTGTACTATATTTATTTGTGCAAAATATGAGCAAAAAAACAAATCTTCTCTTAGATTATAGAAACATTTTGAGTTGAAGAATAATTGAAATGTGCTTACATCAAGTAATTGAACAGTACACCAACATGGGTGGGCCAATATTAACAGTGTTAAATAGGTGACAGCCTTTGAATGTTCACCCTACTCCAGTAGTTCAAAAGAAGTAACAGTATTTCTTTATATTGTGGCCTACATTGAGGTTCAGTAGAGATCTCTGGTGTCTCATGAAATACGTTCTTTATTAGTTGCTACTTGCAATCTTCAAGTCTCAAAGCAGAAGGACACTTTCACAATCAAACAATGTTTACAGTATCGCAGATGGGCTCTCACTTCACTGTTATATCTAACTGACTGATAGCGATACCCAGCCCCTTAGATACCCACAATGGCATGGCTGGCAACAAAAACAGCTTCCTGAGCCCAGTGCTGGCACTCTAAGTGTTCACCTGGGTTGCCTGGCCCTGGGAGAGACACACAGAGGAAAGGGGAGAACAAGCCTTGGAGTTATGTGGGAGCAGGAAAAGTAGGGGTGTGGAGGGATGCACAAATAGAACTATAAAAGACTGGGAAATAGCTTGAGTGGAGGCCTTTCCTATAATCCTAAACCCTGAGTGGGGCCTACTGGTCCAGAGGACAAGAGCCCCAGAGTGAATGCTATGTTTCAGCGGGGCCAGGATTCCAGTCACAGACTCTTCTAGGGGCTCCCTCACTTATTGTGGCAGAGCAGCTTCCTGGCCTGTAGAGCAAGAGGCCTGGAGAACATTTTCAACAGGGTCCTTGTAAACTTAGGAGCCAATTCCCATTTTCAAATGTGATATGAGCCTTTCAGAGCTTAAGTCTCACTGAAAATCCGTGGGCCGTGGGGCCAGATGTCTAAATGTCCTTAGGTGCCTAATGCCTATTGAAATCCATGGAAGTTAGCTGCCTAAACAGTTTCTGTTACTCCAGAAGTCCCCCATGGGCAGGGCAGAGCAGGGCTATGGATCACCCAGCTGTCCAGGACAGTCAGAAGCCTGCACAGCTTGTAGCCTTGGCAAATGCCATCTCCAGCAATGGTGTTTGGTGAGTCCCCAGCTCCTTTTATTTTTAGTTTCTTCACGGAAGTAGGCAGCTCTCGGGTTCATTCCCCCCCATCCCTGCTGAGCAGGGTAGTGCTATAAACAGAGGAGCTATGTTTGGAAGGGGCACTTTGTTGCTGTGGCAATCAAATTTTGACAGCATATGGCGTCATAATCCAGCTACAACCAGTTGTCGTGGCAACTGGGAGCCAAAGTTACCAGGAGAGGAAACAAAGGGATCTTAGAAACTTCTCAAGGACATGAGATCGAAAATTCTGCAAAGGTGTTTCCCTTTCCTCTCCCTCTTCTCTCCTCTGTATCCTTCCCTCTATTACAGGGGGTTTAGCAAGTCCAATCCGAGGGCATGGATAGAGGGGACATAAGATGAAGAAGGAAAGTAGTGATCAGGACAGAGCGCACGTGGCTTGGTACAGCTGTGTAAAAGAGAGGACAGCAAGGGGCCGTAGGTCAGGGATGAAATGTATAGTCATTGGAGTTGTGTGGCAGTCCAGGACAAGTGTAGAAGAGGAAGGATGCAGGTGAAATGGTGAGGTGCATTGTAAGGCCGGGTCAGGGGGTGCTCAGATCTGTTCCTATTGCCAAAGGCATGATGTATGGTCAGTCATCCACTTATCTGACCGGGGTGTCAAGAAGTAAAATGAAACCCAGCTGGAGTGACTGGGGTTCCCACTTCTTCTGTTCTGGCTGCCTTGTTCTAGTAACTCTTTCTTTCCTTTTGCAGTACTTCCCTTGGGGGACATCCAGCTTACAATGCCAGTCCTTGTAGGGACCACCTGCACCATCCTCCTCCTTGTCATCATCTTCTTCATCGTCAACTCACAGCCAATGAAATGGTAAAAAAAAGACTTGAATGGTCCTCTTCAGTCCTGTCCCAGGCCCTGTGTATCTTTCTGTCTTCATTCTCTGTCTCTAGGGCCGTGTCCAGACTCAGGGGTTTTTTCGGGAAAAGTAGCCTTTTCCCGAAAAAACTTCCCCTGCGTCCAGACTCAAGCCGCGTTCTTTCGAAATTATTTCGAAAGAACGCGGCTTTTCTTTCGATGGCGGTAAACCTCATTTCACGAGGAAGAACGCCTTCTTTCGAAAGTTCCTCTTTCGAAAGAAGGCGTTCTTCAATGTTAAGAGGCCGTCTTTGAAAGAGAGCATCCAGACTCGCTGGGTGCTCTCTTTCGAAAAAGCGGATTTCTCTTTTGAAAGATCTGCCTGCAGTCTAGACACGATCTTTCGAAAGAGGCTCTTTCGAAAGATGCTTTCGAAAGAGCCTCTTTCGAAAGAAGCCTGCAGTCTAGACATAGCCTAGGGTTGCCAGGTATGCAGTTTTGAACTGGACAGTCCAGTATTTGAGCTTTCTGTTCAGGGAAACAAACTAACTGAGAAAAAATAAATGAGAAAATACAAATGTCCACTATTTTCTAAATAAGATGTAATGTAGATTGTGATGTAATGTCAAGTGCGTCCGGTATTTCTGTTGAAACCATCTGGCAACCCTACTGTCTCTGACAAGGCTACCCCTGGGAGGCTAAAGTCCCTGGCTGCGTCTAGATTGGCATGATTTTCCGGAAATGCTTTTAACGGAAAAGTTTTCCGTTGAAAGCATTTTTGGAACAGAGCATCTAGATTGGTGCTTTTTTGCAGAAAACAAATCTGAGCTGTCTACACTGGCCTTTTTGAGCAAAAGCTTTGCTCAAAAGGGACTTTTGCCTGAACGGGAGCAGAATAGTATTTCCGCAAGAACACGGACAATCTTCCATGAGATCATCAGTGTTCTTGTGGAAATTCAAGCGGCCAGTGTAGACAGCTGGCAAGTTTTTCCGGAAAAGCGGCTGATTTTCCAGAAAAACTGGCCGATCTAGACATAGCCCCTTAGTCTGATTTGGATCCAAGTCATTCCCAGTGCTGCAGGAATTCTCTTGTCGGATGAATTCTCCTGACCATGAGGGAATTCAGAGTTCGCACCACGATGCTGTGATACAGCATGATGTCATAGCATCACCAAGATCAACAAATAGCCATAGGACACTTTCTCTTTGGGTCAGATTTTAAATGAATTTTGGCACCCAAGTCCTATCAAAACCAGTAGGAATTAAGTACCCAAATGCCTCTTGCTGAAATTCACTTTTGTATAGAAGAAGCAGAACAAGGCCTATGCACTTTTTAATCTCTCAAAACAGGGCTACAGTGGGACTTGGGCAGTACTTGGACTGCATGCAGTCCCACTCCACGTGGTTTGGATTTCACCCTCTGATTATAGTTCCTGGGACAGGCCCCTGCTACAATATTTTGGTGGGATGCTGAATTAAACCTCTTCCTTCCCAGCACTGCTGTGCTAATATTGTTCTTAATCAGTCTTGAATGTGCCGCAGAAAGGCATCCAGCATAATAATGTAGAGAACAGCCTGGCAACATCACGGAAATGGAAAGTGGCTTCTGTTTTAGTTTCAGAGACGGACCCTGCAGAATAGCTAAAGGCACAGGGAAAAGCAATCCATATATCGGGGATGGGAAAGGTGCTTCCATATAAAGATGGCTTGCACGGGGGGTATATTTCAATGGCAAAGGAAGAGAGATTATAAGATTATATAATATTTATGAGAACTGAAACCATCCAGCCTCTCCTGTTTACCACGTGTCATAATGCAAGGGCAAAGGAGCAATCCATTTACATCATATATAAACATAGCTAATCCTCTTCCCTCAATTGTATAATTAGCCCATGGAATTAAATGATGCAGGATAATGCTGTGCAGAAAGGGTTAGACATGCAGGAATGAAAATAGCATCCGCAGCGATACATGCTAGTGTAAGTGTACAAGGACGATCAAATCTTCCTGCTTCAGAGCCCAGGCTGATGGGGCTCAGGAGGAATGTCCCTCACAGTAGATCATTGCACAGTAAAGGTGCATCGGGAGACTTTTAGGCTTCTGAAGGATTTAGCACTGGGCAGTGCTTGGACTGCATGCAGTCCCACCTTTCAGAGACAGAAAAGCAGACTTGATGACTTGGAACTGGAATGGTCTGGCAATCCCTGTGCCCCAGTGTAGCTTGTTCTGTCACGATGGTGCAAGGCATCGTGAGGCGGCACTGTCGTGTGAATGCCACACAACATTGCCAGGCTGCATCCTGATGACAAGGCAGAGAAAGGTGGTTTTGCCATTTCATGGCAGCACGGCAATCTTTGCATGGCTGGGATGGCAAGCAAGTGAGGCACAGTCTGCCCCTGGCAACCAGGCCCTGGAAACCATGCCGGAAATTTTGACCACAGATGGTGACCCTTCCAGCATAGTGGCTAATGAAAGGAATTGGCAGGCCAGGGAGAGGCAGGCGAGGATGTAGGTGAATGGTGGCATTATCAGATCTGGGGTTAGGGCTGAGGGAAATAACTTTTTCTACGCCATCTTCTCTCTCCATCTCTGTGTCCCTCCTGCGCCCATCAGCAAGTGTGAAGATTTGCTAAGGCTACTGGCGATGGCAGCGGTGTGGGAATAAAGAACCCTAGAGCTTGGTTCTCCTTCACTTACACTGTTATTACACCAGTGTAGCTCCAGTGACTTCAGTGAAGTTACTCTTCATTTACACTGGTGCCAGTGAGCACAGAGTCAGGCTCCTGGGGTATCCTGTGTCGGCAGAGGGATGCAGATTAGGCAGGTCGACGTTGCAAATGAGGCAGGGATGTAAATATCCCGTGCCTAATTTGCATTAAAATGGCCGCCGCATTTTGCCAACTCAACACTTTGTTGGTAAAAAGCCACGGGATCTGTCGAAAAAGGCTTGCTTTCTCGACAGATCCCCCTCTAGACTGCCGCTTTTTAACCGACAAAGTGCTGAGTCGACAAAACACGGCAGCCATTTTAATGCAAATTAGACGCGGGATATTTAAATCCCTGCCTCGTTTGCAATGTCGACCTGCCTAATCTGCATCCTTCTGCCAACAGTGGGATGCAGTCTAGACATACCCGTGGAGTGTCTTCAGCTCACATTCACTTCTCTCTCTCTTTTTCTGGTGAAGGCTTAAGAAGGTGCTGAAGATTTATATTCCAGACCCAGACAAGTTCTTCCCCCCACTGAGCACTGTGCACAGAGGTGATGTTCAGGTACGGGGATCGGGGAAGGCGGGGTGTTTGTGGGAGGGTGTCAGAAGAACACACAGGGAAGGAAGGAGAGGTCTGGCTACGGCCCTCGCGCTGCAGATGGATGGGAAGGATGTCTAGCTCCCAGATGGGGTGTGTGCGTGCATCACTGGCCCCTCCAGCACTGGCTGTTGGGGGATTTGCTTTAGTTTTATTTCTGACCTTTTAAAACTGCCATTTGGCTACTGCATCTCTAAATACAGAACCGAGAACATGCAAACCACCAAACCTCAGCATCTTGCTCTGCTGACAGGAGGGGCTAAGAGAGCACACAGGAGCAGAGGGACAGCCCAAGACTCTTGGAGTCCATCCCACCCTGCTTCTATACCTTCTCCTTCATTTCCTCTAGCCTTTCCTCCTGCCATTTATCATTTCTCCCTCTCTCTCCCTTCAATTCCTTTCTTTTTCTCTGTCACACTGTCTTTCTCCTTCCCTGTAGTATCCCCTTCTCTCTTTCCCAATGGAAATAACACAGGCAAGATTCTTGAGGAAGCTCCTTATTTTAAAATGCTTTGGAGTTTGAGTTGGGATCTGACCTTAGGGACCTAGAGATCCCAGAGGAGTGACGACAAAGGTGTGTATTCTGTATGGGAGATGTCAGGCATGTATCCACCACAGGCATTCTGGAAGAGAGACCCCAGGCCTGTGTCTTTGTTGTGAGAATGTTATATTGTTGCTGCTTTGAATGTAACAATCTCTCTTCTGTGTCTCCCCCCCCCCCCCCACTCCACCTTTTCCTCTTCAGAAGTGGTTCTCCTCTCCTTTTTCCACGTCTCTCTTCAGTGTGAGCAGCACCTCCCCAGAGATCTCAGAGCTAGAGATTGTTCAGAAGGAGAATCGGGAATCCCAGTTTCTCCTTCAAAAGGCCTTTCTCACCTCCAGCGCCCCCACAGAAACCAGCAGGAACTCACTCTCCAGCTGCTTCACCAACCAAGGCTACTTCTTTTTTCACCTCCCTGACTCCTATGACGTTGAGCCCTGCCAGGTGTATTTCACTTACGAGCCCTTCACCCGGAAGGCCAGTGGCAGTGACGATGGTGATTCCTATGGAACACTCTCCTCACCGGATCTCTGCATGCTAGAAGATGACCTGCCACTGTTCTCCTCCAGATTTCTTCATTGCACCCAAGGGAACCAAGGTTTCCAAAACAGTTTGTTTGTGGGAGAGACACAGAGCGCAACCAATGGGCTTGGAGCACTGCCTGAGGCTCTTTCGTCACCCAACTGCCCCTCCCCAGCTTTGGAACTGAAACAGGATGAGAAGGTGAATGGGAATGTCACAGTTTTACAGGTCTCTGAATTCCAACAGGAGCCTGGCACGGTCCTCTCTGATCTCCCTGGGCTGCATGACAATGATGGCATTCAAACCACAGAAGAGGTTGGGGATGCAGACCCTCAAATCAGTCCCACTACTACTACTATGGCTAGTTCTCCGTTTTCCCAGCCCATGACTCTGCAGCAAGGTCAAGTGGATGATCTCCACAGGACTGCTTCCTTCAGCCAGGTCCCAAACGCTGGGGCCTACCTATCTTTGAGTGAGCTCCAAAGCCAATACAGCCATTGTTCCATCTACGAGCTGCCTTCTGAATCCTGTGAGCTGCAGGCCTTCTCTGGAAGGAGGGACGGACAAACAAACAGATAAACTTGCCTGTCTGAGAGAATAAGAAGTTGAACATCAGTTTCCACGAACCCAACGGGACCTATCTTTTGACTAACATGGAAAAAGACCCTTGTACTTTTCACTAGTGCAGGAATTCTGAGAGCTTGGGTGGCCACCCAGGAGAGAATCAAATGCCGCCCAGCTGAGTAGTAGAGCGCCCACAGTGCCTAGAGCCAGCAGCATGTGTTTCTATTGGTGGTACACATCAGCGCATGCCTCAGTGTGCATAAAGAAATGTATTCTGCATGTGGATAGAAAAAATTAGAGGGAACATTGGTCGTGAGTTCTCAGGGGCTTGCAAGATTATTACCTGGGGGGGATCACAAACTGCACTTCACCTCTGGCATTTATAATAGTTCTTATTATTAAAAAAGTGTTTTTAATTTATAAGGGGAGGTTACACTCAGAGGCTTGCTGTGGGAGGAGTCACCAGTACAACAGTTTGGGTATGTCTACACTACCCCGCTAGTTCGAACTAGCAGGGTAATGTAGGCATACCGCACTTGCAAATGAAGCCTGGGATTTGAATTTCCTGGGCTTCATTTGCATAAGCCTGGCGCCGCCATTTTTAAAACCCCGCTCGTTCGAACCCCGTGCAGCGCGGCTACACGGGGCACGAACTAGGTAGTTCGAATTAGGCTTTCTAGTTCGAACTACCGTTACTC